GATGAGCTGGCACAGAAGTACACTGCCGAGTCACTTGGCTCTACCAGCTGGATCTTTAGGACGTTAGGTCCCTCTTTGGGAAATTCAGCAGAAAACCGTTTTGCTGGCATTCCTGAATCATCTATGGTTTTTTCTTTCTGGAGGTAAATCATGAAGTTTAGACCTTCCTCCATGAGCTGCCGATACCAGTAAACTTGACTATGTCCTTCCCCTGGGCTGCATCTCAGTGTTGCCTCCTGTCCTCTCCTCCTGACCAGGTGTCTTGGGTTCTGGGTGACACCAGCATTTGCAAGACCTCAGAGGAGAAAAGATTGCATGAGACTGAGTGCTAATAACAGAACAATGAACACTTTACAGTGGAGCAGTTCAACATGAGGTCAAAACACTTGGAAGTCTTCTGCATTCATTTAAAAACTCATATGATCTTTGCTTTTTAATCCATAATGTATTTATTTGTTTTTATATAAGGTTCTGGGTGACACCAGCATTTGCAAGACCTCAGAGGAGAAAAGATTGCATGAGACTGAGTGGTAATAACAGAACAATGAACACTTTACAGTGGAACAGTCCAACGTGAGGTCAAATAACTTGGAAGTCTTCTGCATTCATTTAAAAACTCACATGAATTTTGCTTTTTACTCCATAATGTATTTATTTGTTTTTATATAAGTTTCAATACCTTTCAGAAAATCTTTGGTCAACATACAGATACAGGGTATATTTGAGACACAGTTGTAGAGCCAGAGACAAAGCCCAGTGATGCAGATCCATTAGCTCAGAACTCACCTGCCCCCAGGAGACAGGTGACTGCCCAGCAGAAGAGTCTGGTGCCCATGAGAGCTGGAAATGAAGGCAAACCATAGGCAAGGCCAGGAAGGGCGTTTACTGCAGCAGGCCAGGGAGCTAGACCTCACAGCTGCTTTCTACAAGGCGGAGTCTTCCTGTGAGGTCACTATTTCCATTGGGTCCTGTTCTTTCTAGAACTAATGTTGTATGTCAGTTGAATGGTAGAGCTTTTGTTCTTAACTATGCACACCACCAGGCTCAGTGTGTTTGGGGGCGATAGCGTTGTATAGGGAGTATTTTGAGATAAGCACCTCTGTTATTGGTCCTTCCTAGTTTCTGAAACATATCTGAACATTAATTTTTACCACATCCCTCTTCACTTTTTTTTTTTAATCTTTTGTTCCTTTATTTTCTTTTCATTCCCTCATATCATCTTTCCATTTTCTGGCTGTTGTTGAATAGGAGTATTGACCAGAGGTGATAACCAGATACACATATTAAGAGACAGGAAAGTGGAGATGAACATTGCTGGGGGAAAAATTGAAGAACGGAAATTATTTGACACTTTCTCAGTTTTCTTCTTTTATCTACCACCTCAACTAAGCAATTGTTTCAAGCATTTTGAGGGAACTTTATTTTAAGTTTCATAATTCACTTTTACCATCTTTCATTATTCCACTTGAATATTTAATAGAAGTAATTCAAAGAAAAACATAAGGAAAAGTATAAATTCCTCCTCTGGCTTTGTGTCTCCTGATTCTATGCATCTAGTTGTATTATTCTCGTAATCATGAATGGGATGCCCGTGTTTAAGAGATCTTCCTTCCTTCCATTTTTCTGTCCTTCTTTCTCACACTGTAGCACTGAATAAAAATGGTATAAAGGTCAACTTTGTTTCAAGCATAGTGAAAGAAAGATACAAAGAACAAGGCACAATCCCACCCCATAAGAGTCTATAGGCTTCTTGGAGAAGGTAGATGTGTAACTATGCATCTAGGACTCTTCACACTTTGACTAATAAATAAGATCATGTGCTATGGGTCACTTGCATCCCCCAAAAGTTCATGTATTGGAAACTTGATCTTAATTGTAACAGTTTTAAGAGGGTGGAAAATCCAATTATGGTGTTCAAAAGGTGGGGCCTCTGAGAGGTGATTGGATCTTGAGGACCAGGCCATCATGAATGGATTAATCCACTCATGGACTAATGGGTTGGTGGTTTAATGGGTGGTCATGGGCGTGATTCTGATGGCTTTGTAAGGAGAGCAAGCCAGAAGGTGAGGTCTCTTTCTCTTCTCTTGCTTGCCATGTGATACCCTGGTCACTACAGAACTCTGTAGAGAGTTCCCACCAAGAAAAAGTCCCTAACCAGAGGTGTTCCTTGGACCTTGGACTTCCCAGCCTCCAAAACTATAAGAAATAACTTCTGTTTTTTTATAAATTACATAGTTTCGGGTATCTGTTATAAGCAACAGAAATAGACTAATATATCACATTAATTCATGGTGTCCAAATAATAATAGCTCAAGGCTTTGTCTTATTCATAGCAGAGGTGTAGGGCCTCTCTAAAAGGGTTCTCATTAATTTGGGCAGTATTCAGTGTGCTTTCCCACATTCACTCCAATGAAAATGCAGCTGAAATCACCACTGGAATCAGCCCAATCCTTCTCCCGAAAATATTCCAACTTGTCCACCAAAGCCATTGGTGAAAATGAACCTCCATGCTTAGCCCACAGGGACTTTTCCTGGAGTCTTTTTCAGGCTATTGGGGGTAGTGTTGGAGTTTGTACAGAAGGGAGGGGATGTATGGTCTCCTCATTGCCTCTGAGGTGTCCTTTGTTACTTAGGGCTCAAAATAACTCTTCTTGTGGGCAGAGTCTCACCAAGCAGTTTGTAAGCAGTGTCATTAGCTGCTGGTTACCAGTCTTCCATCTCTAAGGGCTCAAACCTAATCTGAGGTAAAAGGAACAGATGCCTTACCAGTCACGCTTACACTTCCTGTTCACTGCTGCATGTTACAAACCAAATCTTCTCCTTCCATACTTACCTATCAGTGAAACATCGTGGTGAGTATCAATAGATGCAAACAGTAGATTGTGTTTTGGAATGGGAGGAGTTAAAAACCAGTGATAGTAGGGATGGTGGCCACAACAAGGTCCCAACTCAGTAGCTTGAAAGGTTGTGGGACAGTTGCCATAATATATGTAATTGCCTTTGGCACTTGGAACCTACCTGGCCAAACCTCCACTTTCAGATCTCCAAACTTGCCTCTTTAACAAAAACGCAGGTACCTTCACTCCACCATGAGCACCCAAAAGGCCAGTGATTCTTTCCGGTGGCTAAAGCCTCGGAATATAGCCCTCGCTTTTCTTCCTCATTCCCTCTTTTTTAAAGGTCTGGAAGCATGTCCCCACCTTCAACTGAGAGAGAACTTCTGAAGAGGAAACTAATTGGCTAAACTAAAGACAGGTGGGTAATAAGTTAAAATTGTGAAATATTGAGTTTAGTTTAAAAGATAAGCAGAGTATAAAATATCATTTAATTTCACTTATCTGTCTCCAAACAAGTAAGTTTTTGGCTTAGGCACTTTGCCAAACACTTTTGGGTTTTGTTTCCATGGTCATTCTTTCAAAAGACAGCTTTACTGAGGTGAAATGGGCATAAAAACAAATTGCGCATATCAAGGTTGTGAACATATTTATCTCTTCCAAGTTTCTTTGCATCATGTTCTAATCCTTTCCTTCCACCCCTTCCCACCTCTCCCTGTCCCTAGACAATTACTGATCTGCTTTCTGTTAATAAGATTTGCTTTTATTTTCTACATTTTCATGTAAATGGAATAATATGGTGTCTTAGCTTGGGCTGCCATAATAAAATACCATAAGCTGGCTGGCTTAAGCCACAGAAATTTCTTTTCTCACTGTTCTGGAGGCTGGGCGTTCGAGATCAGGATGCCAGCATGGGCAGGTGTGGTGAGAGCTTTCTTCCTGTCTTGCAGATAGTGACTTCCTATTGTGTTCTCACATGGAAGAGAGAGAGAGGAAGCTATCTGTGTCTCTCCTTATAAGGGCTCTAATTCCATTGATGAGGGCCCCACTCTGATGGCCTCAACTAAACCTAATTATCTCCCCCATCTCCAAATACCATCACATTGGGGTTTAGGGCTTCAACATATGAATTTGGGGGGGTGGCGCAGTTCAGTTCATAGCTTACATAGTACACATGTACCACTTTTTGTCTACCTTCTTCCATCACTGTAATTATTTTGAGATTCATTTATATTATGTGCACCAATAACTAGGTAATTTTTTAAGCCACATGAAGAATGCATTTAGTAAGTCTGTAAAACATTTCATGTTTTTAGAAGATTGGCAAATTCATCAATAAGACTGATACACAATACAAATTAAATAACACATATTTCTACTCATAAGGCTAACTTTGAAAATATATACTTTTTTCTGACATTGGAGCTAGAATATTTGAATCTTTTTAGGTTGAAGTGCCAGATCTTTTTTTTTTAATTATGTATAATTTAAATACCATAAAATTCAGTGATTTTTAGTATATTCACAAAGCTGTGCAACCATCACCACTATCTAATTACAGAACATTTTCATCACTCCCAAAAGAAATCCTGCATCATTAGAATTCACTCCACATTCATAGCTCCTGACAAACATTAATCTGTTTTCTGTCTCTAAGGATTTACTTATTCTGAACATTTTATATAAATGGAATCATATAATATGTGCCCTTTTGTGTCTGTCTTCAATCATTAGCATATTTTTCCAAGATTCATGCATGGTGTAGCACATATCAGTGCTTCGTACTTTTTTATGACTGATTCCATTTTATGGATATGCTATATTTTATTAATACACTCATCACTTGATAAACATTGTTACTTTTTGGCTAATATGAATAATGCTATTCTGAGCATGTATATAAAACTCATTGTGTGGACACATGTTTTTAATTGTCTTGGGTGTTTACCTAAAAGTGGACTGGCTGATTCTGTGTTTAATTTTTGAGTAATTGCTGTACTGTTTTACATAAAGTCTGCACCATTTTACATTCCCACCAGCAATGCATGAGGTTCCTAATTCCTCCACATCTGTGCCTACACTTGTTATTGTCTGTGTTTTTTGGTGGCTGGCCGCTGTTTTACATAAAGTCTGCACCATTTTACATTCCCACCAGCAATGCATGAGGTTCCTAATTTCTCCACATCTGTGCCTACACTTGTTATTGTCTGTGTTTTTTGGTGGCTGGCCGGTATGGGGATCCAAAGTCTTGTCCTTGAAGTTATAACACTGTGCTCCAACCAACTGAGCTAACCAGCCAGCCCATATTTTTTTTATTATAGCCTAGTAAGTGCAAAGTG